TATGTTAGAAGTAATCTTGCTCGAGTCGAGCAAGAATTCACCACCGCTAGACGACCCTTCCGATGTCACCAATTTTGTCCAAACATCTCTCCATCATGCTGAATTTAAACCAGAAAACAAATCTGTCGCGAACAGTGCGACATCGCACATTTCTTCTGCTGATTTCGGCGCCGTTTGATCGATTGACTACCTCAGACTACCTGGGCCTGACTCCCCATCACTTGGCGCACCTTGCCCTGTAATGGGTCAAGGTTAATTTTGTCCAGATTTCTAGCAATTCATGGCTGAAGTTCGCGGTGTCTGGGAAAAATTTGGAAATGAGGAATTAGATGAATCTGCCTTCTTACAAATGCTTACTTCGACCAAGAAATCTTCAATTGGCAATGGTATGGTCATGGGTAATCAACCAATTTTATCAATTAACAATGAAAATCATGGATTGAATTTTGTGGGTCTAGCCGTTTGATGGGTCTAACCACCACCATTTGTGGTGGAGTTTGGTGGCACAACCACCACTTTTTAATTTAGTTTTGATTCGAAACTGATTTTTTAAAAGGGTAATTGCTTCATTTTGTGTGCTTGCATCAAAAGAAGCCGGTGAAGGCGGAGGCTATGGATAGGACGGAAAAAATGGAGTGTTGTTAGGACGGAAGGTGGAGGTGGTGGAAGAGGCTCAGCTGCTCAGAGAGGGAGAAAAGGAGAAGGGGGAAGAGTTTTTTTTTTCCTTTTTATTTTTAATATTTTCATGAGTTTTGGATTGATTTGCATTTTTAAAAAATTTAGGAGCAAATTGTAATTTATTCTTTATTTTTCTTTTCTTTTCCTTTTTGTTTTATTTCAATTGGAGGGTATATTTGTTATTTTACGTTAAAAAATAGGGAAAATGATGTTTTGCACCAAACAAATCAAAGGTATGGACGTTTTGCGTCAAAAAATCAAACGTATGGACGTTTTCCACAAACAAAGGCAAAGGTGGGAACGTTTTGTGTCAATTACCCAAAAAAAGGCGAAAAACCAGGACATGTACGGTGGCGCCCATGCTGGCGCTGTGACCCAATTTTTTTTTTTATCAAGTTGTTTTCTCCATCCCGAACTCTTTTTCAAGTTTAATACAAATTTTCAACTCCGAATAGGCTTCTAAAATAGAATTTCAACTTGATATAGGATTCCAATAAAATTCCAAATTAAATTATTCTTGACGTGCACTTCAATTAAAATTCTTCAATTATTTTAACAAGGAATTCAGATCACACCCAAATTCTAACATGGAAGATTGAAATAATTGATGTGTTTAATACGGTTTACTTTTATTCAAAACCGTTACAAATGTGAAGAGACTAATCGGTTACATTATGTTTAATTGACTTCCCACAACTTCATAAGCATTTTAACTTCTTTTTCTTAATACTGTTCCGTCCATACATGCGATGAGGACAGGGACATGGTGTTAAGATGATTCCATTGCATTGTCAGCTAACAAATTTTATCCCACCTCTTGTCACGATACTGTTGTATTTAAGATCGGGGCTATGAGGCACACAGAGTGATCTGAAATTTGACAAGAGAAAAGCCAATAGAATTATGAATTCCAATGCCATGGAAATTACTGTCGTACATAGAAAAGCAATATCATGGTTCACAATTAAGCAACCAACATACTTCGTTGCCACAACCAAAATGCGCAGACATTCTAAAGAGACAGGGAAGAGATGAGGAAATATCAAAGCGCTACAAATAGTTTTGTAGTATCTTAGTGATAAGGGACTGCAAGTAGTTGTACTATTAATCTCTGCTTCTATTTCTGTGGCTTCTTCCACAAGACCCCGAGCCTTCTAAGCATGTTGGCATTTTTCTTCTTAAGCAAATCTTCATTGACATCCTCTGCATAAGGTGAACTTATCTTTCCTGTCCTGGGGCTATAGTTGCTGTCCATTGATCCAGTTCTTTCCATGAGTTTGCCGTTATTTCCAACTGAAAGCATAGAAGCAGCAGCCTCTGCAGCCTTCCTCCACTGATCCGACTGAACCTTTAGCCTCCTTAACTCGGTTTCCATTTCTGCATTGGTTGCCTGTGCTGCTTCCAACTGCTCAGCCATTCGAGTGGTCCTCCCGTTACTCTTTTCGACTTCCTCTGTCATGTACCCAACCTTCATAAGAGCCTCCTGCTCTGCACACCTTGCTGACTCTACTTCAGAGGCAACTTCATCACTTAGGTTACCCATCTTGATTTCCTTGATCTTCAACTTCAGCGTTTCATTCTCCTCTGATACATATTGCAACTCAGTTTCTTTATCCATCAAATAGGCTCTCAAATTCTCCATGTCTGTCTTTGATTTCTGGAGGTCCTTTTCCAGTTCATATTCTCTCTGGTCTGGTAGTGAAGTTTCAAGCCTAATTGTCAGCTGCTCGTTCTCATCACAGATACCTTGTAATTCAGTTTCCTTGTCCATCAGATTTGCCTTCAACTCCTCCATTTCATCTTCGGAGAGCCGTAACTTAAACTCAAGCTCGGCCTCTCTCTGGCTTGACATGGACTTTATCTGTTCCATCAATTCATAAGCACTTCTCATCCGTTCTGCACTTTGAGATTGTTCTTCATTGTATTTGATTTCAGCTGCTTCTAAAGCATGTCTTAGGCGTTCAACTTCAAGTTTAACAGAAGTCACCTCAGCTTCTATTGATTCTTCACTTCTTTCATTATCTTTACTTTCAAAATCAGTTTTAGAATCACCTTTATTTGGCGAATCACTGATATCAGAATTGAGTTTGCTAACAAGCTCTTCCAGAAATGTAACAAGAGCTCTTGAATGGCCCAACTCAGAAGCTATAGCATCATATGCTTCAACGGCCTTAAATCCATCCGATCTAAGGTTCTCCGCAGTCTTTTTTGCTGTTTCCAGTTGCTTTAGTGTTTCCCCTACGAGTAATTGGGCACGAGCTTCTGATTCTTTGCAGTCTCCAAGCTGTTTTTTCATAGCTTCCACAATCGAAAGAGTTTCATCTAGGTTCTCTTTAAGCTTATAAAGCTCACTCTGTGCAGATTCTGAGTTCTTCGTCTGGGTAGCTTCAGATTCTGCTACCATTTCAAGTTGCAGTTTAAGTTGCTCGATCTCATTTAGGGCAGAGGTTAATGCAGCTGAATCGACTGACTGATCATTTTTTAAAGCATCAAGTTCAGATTGTAACGTCTGATCGCATTCTTCAGAGTTCTTAGAAATCTCAATTACTTGTCCATTCTCAGAGTTTGACTGCTCCAAAAGTTGCTTATGGGACTCTTCGAGTTTTGATGATAGGGCCAAGAGCTGCTGGTTCAATTCCTCTGAATCTTTCTGAGCTTGTCTCTTTGATGCTTCTGAAGAGCAGAGCTGATCCTTCACAGTTTTTAGATCATCCTCAAGCTGAGATATCTGGTGCTCTAGTTCCACAACCTTGCTTGGACGCTTCTTCTACAAGTTGATACAAAAAGATAATATAAGAATTTATGAAGTAATTGATAGAAATAAATTTTCTTGTAACATGCTATATAGCCATTGAATTAAAATTTTGCACTTCAAAAGAACTTTTAATGATGATACTAACTTAACAAGACCTGAGAAATTAATGACATGAGGTCCAGGGATTAAACGAAAGAAACAGTTTCCATAACTAAGACATATGTCAATGACACGGTCTGTGAACTTAACCATGGAAAAAGGGAACAATATAGAGTCAACGAGATTTCAAACACAAACAAGATTAGTATTCCATCTCTGATACTTCACTTTTGTTTCCACAAATTATTTTGCAGTTCTGTTACAGAATTCATGTTAGTGCACAAAAATGACATAGTTAACGATACAACACAATGGCTTTTCAAAAAAAGCATTCATTACCGATACAACCTCAAAATCATGGAAAAAAAAAAAAAAGATAACAGCCACATTAAGCTGAAAAAGAGAGGAGAGTCAAATTATCTTATTATAACTTTCAACAATACAGAGCTCCAATAAAATGAAATTCTGATATCTCACGAATGTCTATTTTTAATGAAAACCTTGAGGTGAAATTTACTTCCTCTTAAACTTTTACCTAACATCTCTTATATAGAATGAGAAGTGATCAGGGTAGCCAAGTATATGCTGCAAAATTATAGATTTCGTCTTTCTTTGGTTTCCCTTTGAGATGTAAAAGTCAGTATTTAATATTTATTTTTGGTACCTCAGACACAGGGCTTTTGGATAGCCTGCGATTGGCAACTTTAGGACTTCTCTCCTTTGGCACCCTACTAGACAAATTCGTAGAAGAGGCAGGTTGATCTGAATCTTGTGCAGCTGTCTTCAGTTTGCGCACAACTTGAGGAGAAATCTTTTGGGACATTTCTGAGGAACCAGCTCGAGGAGATGTCTTATGAGGCACTTCAGAGGAAATAGATCGAGGAGAGGCTTTTTGAGGTGCTCCAGTAGAAGTTTTTCTGCTCCAAAAAAAGTACAGAACGTTTAGATGGGAGATATTATAGATTTGGAATCAGCAGAAGAAAATAATCAATGATATTCACAAATCACATTTCAACATCATTGCTAATGTAACTGGACAAAGCCACGTAAATGACAGAAAAGTGTCTACAATGATTTGGTTGTGCACCAAAGCAGAACATGATAGTGTATGGCTTTCAACTTGGGCAGAGAAACTCATTAAGATGAGAAGTCAAGTTTAATGAAAAAATTACATGTTATGGAATGATATGAAAAGAATTCTATGAATATTACAAGAAAGAATGGTAATATTATCTATGGAGTAATACAACCATAAGCAAAATAAAGAATGTTTCGACTAAGCATTTTACGGAAGTCAAGAAAGGATTGAAATTTGAAAATATTGCGATTATCTGCAACATATATGGTTAATGCTCATAAATCCGGAATATTTGTACAAACAAAGGTCATTAAACTTCCAGACTCATGCAAACTGTGTAAAAATACTTTCCTTTCCAAGCACGGGAACAAAAATCACCACCTCGAACTCAGCAACGATTTCAATGGTGGGAAAAGGAAGACAATCATGCAATTATTTCAATAAATACTTACCATCATGATGTAGCATTGTATTAACAATGATTGACACAAATTGGACTAGAGTTCAACAATATAATTAGAGTAAAAGGAAATCAGAGGGCCCTTTCATTCACCATTCATAGCAAAAATTATATTAGAAGTAGCAGAGGTAGATAAAACAAGGTGAATTCCTTTAGGACATTTTTCACTAGTCAAAGTGAAAAATAACCAACTACAAAATTTATCTGTTAAAAGACTTTTCCGCCTTACGTCTAGTTTGCCCTTTTTAAAAAGAGTGATTTCCTTTCCCAATTCATTTTTCTTCCTTCCACCCCCTATCCAATCCCCATCTACAACCCAACCCCCTGCCACACCATCCAGTAAAATATTTGAAAACCAGAGAAACTAGAATTCAACCTTTTGGGAATAAAACTTAGCTGTTAATGAACGTTTTGCAGTACAAAGAAGAAAGAAAAATAAAAATGAAACCCCACATATACACTCACCAGTTTCAATAACACTTAATAGATAGAGAAAACTACCAGCGATTATAGACCAAGACATTCCAAGCATTTAATTTCAAAAAAAAAAAAA